TATTGAAGGTGCCTCAAGGAAATCGTTCCCGCCAGGGGTATGTGGAACCAAGACATATCATGTAAAGGTACAAAATCCTAATGATGAATGTAACTGTATTGTTTGCTTTAAATCTACCAATAAACTTAATGGGGGAAAAAAAGAAATCATTCCCAGATTTGGACTACCCCAGTCCCTCCATAGTGACAATGCACCTTCTTTTACCTCTCAGGTAACTGGGGAGGTAGTAAAGGCTTTAGGAATAAAGTACTAAAAAAAGGCGGGGGGTGACGGGACACAAAGTATGACCTCCATTCAAATTGGCAGCTTCAATCTTCTGGAGAGGTAGAGAGCGCCAACCAGAACCTAAGGTGAGCTCTGCCAAAACTCTGCCAAGAGACATCGGACTCCTGGCTCTGAATGCTACCAATAGCACTCATGAGGGTTTGTAACATTCCCAAAACTGGTATGTTTTGGGAAACTGAGACGTTACATGAAAGGTCATTTCTATCATTTTACATGACAGTAGACGCAGAGACTACTATGAGACGCGTAAATATTCTCATCAACCTGGGCCAAGCACAACAAGCTATCCGAATGCATGGAAACAGAGACCTCCCAGCTTCTGTTCCGGAAAGACCACCTGTGTCCACCCTGGAGACCAAGTGCTTGTAAAAACTTGGAGAGAGGGAACACCAGCAGACCAGTTAAAGCCAAAATCAGTGGTCATTGTCATACCCACTGAAGAGGTGGCAGAGACAGAAAACTGGATACATCTTTTTAAAATAAAACCAGTCCCATCTGATCACTCAAAAGGAGAAAGCTGCTCCTGTGAACCTCTAGACAACCTGAGATTTCTCTCCAAAAAGCAAGACTCCGGTGCTGTCACAGGAAATGTGAAACTCTGACCTGTTCCTCATATTTGGGCTAACAGTCAAGTTTCTTTCTCCATCAAACACGCAGCTCAATGGTCCGTAACTCTTTTCTCATTGTTTTCGGACAGGTTTTTCTTTCTTGAACCCAGCCAATGAGCCACAGCGCCCCACTGTGGTTGCAGAGTACATAATCCCAGTAGGTAAAATCTACAGCCTCTTTCAGCTTGAAGAAGCTACAGAAGAGACCTAGGCTCCACTCCTCTCAGCACCTTACAAAGAACTGTGTGGATTTGTGTCTCTCGGGGGAAATCACATGCATATTAGGGTGTGGCAAAGCTGGCTGGGGAAGCAGGCAAGACTTATTAATTCCGGAACGCTTGGGAACAAGTCCCAAAGAGCTGTACATGGTCTTCTCAAAAGAACTTGAGCAGGTTTTTCAGTATGATGGCCTAGACCTGACCTCAGCCTGAGGCAAGGGATCCCAGCACCGCCTCTGAGGAGCCATATATAATATATAGAGAAATTCTTCAAGGTTTCCTTGTAATTTGGACAGCATAAAAGTACGCAGATGACATGAAGAGCTCACTATTGTGGCTTTCTTTACGATAGCCCACCCTGCATCATTGAGGGTATTCTCGTCAACCCTTTGACTTGGCCCAATCTCACTATGCAGAGCCAGTTGCTCTCTTGCTCTTCACTTTTGCTTTTTCACATAATCTCTCCTACTGTTTTTCATGTGTTTCATTTAATTCTTTGAGACAAGAACGTCCAGAAAGAGAGGCCAGCAACCCAAAACCTGGTAAAGTTCATTTGGTGAGGAACTACTCATAACAATCTGGCAGCTTCTAAAAAAGACAACATGGAAAATTCAAGATGATGCTAACTTCTCCAGCAAAAGTCTGGCTAACTGTATGTGAAATGTCCTCCAATCTCATCTTGGCTAACATTTTTAAATGAAGTATTTACCTTCTCTCCTAAAAGACTCAAACGGGGCTGATAGAAGATAATATTCCTGCTCCTCCCTCCCCTATTGCCCGTCACCTTGGCTCACCTGTCCCTAAGCAGGCTCACAATTACCCTGCAATGTGGCTCTAGCTGTGACTATTAAGTCCAAAGCCTTCGCTGCCACTGATGTATATTCAAGCACAGGGAGGGGGGAGGTGATAATAATCTAGCATGTACTGAGCCTTTAACTCAGCAGTACTGCTTTATGGGAGCTAATGCTTTCATCTTTATTTGTTTGTATTTAACAGTAGCTAAGTTGTATTAAAGGTAAGAAAAGAAACAGGCAACGCAGAGCCAGTTTGGGCTGAGTAAAAGTAGAGAAAGAAGTACACTTTGCAGTGTGAGGGTGGGCCAGCATGAAATACAGTTGTTTTTTTGGCTTTTGAGACAGGGTCTCGCTATCAGTGCAGGCTGGCCTCAAATTCACAATGCTCCTCCTGCCTCAGCCTCCTGAGTGGTGGGATTACAGGAACATACTACCATGCCCAGCCTTTAGTCTTCACAGCAAGAGCACAAGGTAGGTAATACTGCTCCTGGTTTTTGGTTGCTTGTTTGATTTTTGTTAGAGATTCTTTTTTTCTTCTTCTTCATTAAGTTTATTGGTATTTTTTAGGTATATAGTACAGTTGCATTCATCATTGGGATCTTGTACCTTTACATGACAGATCTTGGTTCTTATCTTTCCCCCATGCCCCTGCCCTCCCTTCACCCCCTCCACCCTTCCCTATTTACAAAGACTTTGTTTCCAGTTTTTCCTTTTCTCATATTTTTTCTTTTCCCTTATTTCCTTTCCCCTACCCTTCCCACTTCCCTATTCCTTTAGCCCTTTTCTTCCTATTTCACTTTATCAATTAAACAATCTGAGCCTTATTTACACTTTTAGTTTTTCACACCAGAGAAACTATTCGGTATTTACACGTGTGTCCTATTTATTTTACTTAAGAGTATGGCCTCAATATGCATCCATTTAGTTATACATGTCCCTAGTTTCGCATTCTGCTTCTGTTTTACAGATGAGTAAAATGAAGCACAGAGAGGTCAAGCCCAAGGTCATAGAGCTGGTAAGCAGAGAAGACAAGATTCAAATCTAGGGAGTTTGGTACCCATGTTCCTAACTACTATGTTTTCCAGGCTCTCAAAGAAAAGATAGTGTAAACACACACACACACACACACACACACACACACACACACACACACACAATTTTTTAAACATATATACAAGGTAAGAAGTAACAGTTATTTCTCCATCTGCTATCTAGTAGTACCCAAAGATTACCAGTCCTGCAAAATTTCAGACAAAAAAAAAAAAGAGGGGTGGTCCATTTCTAAAAGCTGTGCCACACCGAATGCTGTGTCTCTAACTTTGAGATTTGTTTACTAGCATTTTAAAGGTTCTATGAAGTCTTGTAATTAAGGAAATAAGTTTGCTGTCTGCAATCTAGTATTCTCTAAAATAATCTTATCAGGATAACCCTTTTTCAGCAAGACTGTTAATAGCTTTAGCAAGTCATAATCTAGAGCAAGTTTAAATTTTAGAGTTTCCAACAGATAGAGAAAGTTACTGTCTTTCTCTCCTCAAACAGTGGGGGTTTTGTTTTTGTTTTTTCCAGTGCTGGGGATTGAATTAAGGACCTTATGCTTGCAAGGCAGGCATGGCGCCACTGAACTAAATCCCCAGCCCTCAAACAGTGGGTTTTATGGGCCTCTGATTTCACCTACCCAAGAAGCATGAAGGAAGACACGTTCCTACCAGCATTACCAACACCTGTAGCTGTCCCAAAGTCCAAGCTTGCAATAACCTGCACTTTTTTTTTCTACTCATTTCTTACAGGAAAGGCCTGTCTGCTGTGTGCAGGAAGATGTGGGACAGTCACTAGGAAAGAAAGAAGGGGGGGGAAGAAAGAAAGAAAGAGGGAAAGAAAGGAGGGAGGGAGGGAGGGCGGGCAGGCAGAAAAGCAGGGAGCGAGGAAGGAAGGAAGGAAAAAAGAAAGAAAGAAAGGCCACTATTGTAAAAATATTTTAAATGTTCTAAATATTCAATGTACATTTAAATACTAAAGGCTTTGTAGCACTGCAGCAGTTCTCAATGAATCCCTTCATCGTGCTCCTCGCACTCCGAGGGTGCCCATGACATCAAAATTACTTTCATAGTACAAAAAGAGTATTTGTTTGACATGTGTACTGACAGTGGGAAACAAATGGTGGGTAAATCTGTACTCTGCCTTGTGACACACAATCGTACACCATATATGTTTTCTTGAACAAGTGGGGAAATGTAATTATCAATACATGTATGTGCGTGTGTGCATATATATAATGCATCCAAGCACGTGCCGTAAATATTAATATGTTGATTTGTACTTTTTAAATTTATACTCCAAACTTAAAGATTAAGTTTTTTTCTTTAAAATGCACAGACTCACTAGGCACAGTAGCTCACACCTGTAACCCCAGCTACTCAGGAGGCTGAGGCAGGCAGAAAGGATTGCATGTCTGATGACAGTCTAAGCAACTTAGACCCTGTCTCACACAATGAAATAAAAGGGCCAGGAAGTAGCTCAGCACTAACGTGCTTGACTCACGTGTGCAAGGCACTCCCTGGGTTCAATCCACAGCATCAAAGGGAAAAAAAGAACCACAGACCCATATGGGGAGAAAAACTCAGTGAAATATAATTTAACTTTGCTGCTGAAAATGTCTTCCTTCTTCTTCTCTAAATTGATAGAAAGGTCTCCATAAAGTTCCAGTTAATACATAAGACATTAAAGTACATTTTAATCAAAGGAGACAGAAAGGGGAATCAACAAATTGTGGGGAGAAGGAAAAAATGGAAACAAAGTCTTTGTAAATAGGGGAGGGTAGAGGGGATGAAGGGAGGGCAGGGGCATGGGGGAAAATGGGAACGAAGAAGATATATTTTTAAAGTACCTATAAATTCAGTAAAATAAAAAAAAATGTGAGGAAGAAGCAACAGGAAAGAGTAGAGAGAAAAAAAGAGTCAGGAAAAAAAGCAAATGAGATTTTACACATCATTCACATCATTTTTTTTTTAAGTGCTCACATTCCAAAATGACAGAATTTACAGGTGTGATAAATGTAGTCCTCAAACAAATGACTCAAAAAAGTGACATCTACGTACCTGGTATTTCTTAAACTCTCTGTTCAGCTGGAGAACTGTGCTGTGTGGGGGTCCTTCCTCCTGGTTTCCAATGCCTCGGCTTCCTCGGAATGAGGAAAGGGCAGCCTTCCTGACCTCCCGAGTCATGTTAAACCACTCCTGCAGCTTGTGCTGCTGCTGTTGGTTTAGACTGACAGCATCTCTTAAGTCCAGCAGGAAGGTGACGGCTTCCTCTACACAATTTTGGTAGCCTAGACACTCCCCTTGTAGCTGAGCTACTTGCTCTTCAAGAGAATGGATCCTGTTTTTATCAGGTGCGGCCTCTGGAGGGATCTGGCTAGTGTGACTGACACCAGTCTGCTGGCTTTGCAAAGCCTCTCGAAGCAACTTAATCTCAAATTCCATTTCATCCATACGGCCTGACTCAGGGCTAAAGTTCAAAGTGGGCTTGTTTCGAATGTTCCGTGCTCTGTTGGCATATTTGAGAGAATTTAAGGACTCATCAAAGTCTGAGGAGGATGGGCTGACACAGGTGATCATGACGGTCTTGGCACTGCCTCCCAGGGAGTCCTTCAGGAGCCGGGTAATTTTAGCATCCCTGTACGGGACGTGTGAACTCTTCTTGCGTGGGTCCCCAAGGGCACTGATCACATTTCCTAAAGCCAGCAATCCACTGTTGATTTGAATGGATTCTTTGAACCGTTCACCAGTATTTCCTGTTTTGGTTACTCTTTCTGACCCAGCCAAATCCACAAAGTGGAACTTGGAGACGATACGCCGATGGGCATACCATGATCCACCTTCCCCTGCCCCCGGATTTCTTTCCACTTGACAGACGCTGATGGTGAAAATCGCATGGGACCTGCTGGAGTGCTCGTTCATCTGGGTGGTGCCTGTGTGCCGGGCGGCGTTTCCCATCTCCAGGAGACTCAGCACTTCGTCCACGCTTTCCACACGGCACTCCTTGGCCCCAACAATCACTTCAAACAGCAACAACAAGTTTTAAAACCAGGTTCACATCAAAATTCAGTACAGTAAATAAAGCACACAAGCTATCGTTCTTTTTTTTTCGGGGGGGGGTACCAGGGATTGAACTCGGGACCTTGCATTTGCGAGGCAGGTGGTGGAACCACTAGTTAAATCCCCAGCCCCCAAGCTATCATTTCTTAAGAGCCCAGTGTAGTCCTTCAAACAAAATCGACAGCATCACAAACAACAGTACATCAGCAACATGGTTAGTTTTAGAAACTCTAAAATGGATCATTTTAATAGCGTTCATTTTGATGTTTAAAAAGATGTAACTCTTTAAAAAAAATCTAGTCTTTCAGGAGTCAGACACCATACTTTTTAAAATGACAAAAGAAAATCTCTTGGGCTCAGGGCATAGCTCAGTGGTAAGTATACGCTTAAATTCTATCCTTGAACACCAAAAGCAAATAAACAAACCCCTTCTTGTTTCAATATTTTGACTTCTAAATTAATTAAAACTATATTAACTAAGCTGGGCAAGGTAGCACATGCCTGTAACCTCAGCACTCAGGAGGCAGAGGCAAGAGGATTGCCTCGAGTTCGAGGCTAGCCTGGGCTACATAGTGAGTTCAGAGCCAGCCTGAACAACAACAAAAAAAGCAACACTGTCTCAAAAAAAAAAAAAAAAAACCTAAATATTAAATATTTAACTCAAAAGTTAATCAGAAAGGGCCAGGGATTTACCTTAGTGGTTCCACTGCCTGCCTCACAAGTGCAAGGTCCAGAGTTCAATCACAGGTACCAAAAAAAAAAAGTCAATCAGGAGTAAATTTATTAAAAGAAGTTTCTTTTCAGTTTCGTTAATATTCAAGCCATCTTTGGCTAGGTTTTTTGTATTGTACAGTCATAATCAAGGCTTAAATGAAGAGTTTGATATAAATAAAATAGGTCTAGGGCTGGAGATTTAGCTCAGTGGTTCCAGTGCCTGCCTCACAAGTACAAGGGCCCGAGTTCAATCCCTGGTACCAAATAAGATAGATAGATAGGTAGGTAGATAGATAGATAGATGAAAAGAAGAAAGAAAGAAAGAAAGAAAAGAGAAAGAAAGAAAGAAAAAGAAAGAAAGAAAGAAAGAAAGAAAGAAAGAAAGAAAGAGAAAGAAAAGAGAAAGAAAGAAAGAAAAAGAAAGAAAGAAAGAAAGAAAGAAAGAAAGAAAGAAAGAAAGAAAGAAAGAAAGAAAGAAAGAAAGAAAGAAAGAAAGAAAGAAAATAGGTCCCTGTATAGTTCAGGCTGGCCTTGAACCCACTGTGATCATCCTGCAGCCTCCCAAGTGCTGGGATTACAGGAATGTGCCACCACTCTCAGAAAGGTCATTCATTTTAAAAACACATCTGCCCTACACAGTATCAGTGTAAGAAAATAGAGAAGAGGGCAATTCAAAAAAAGCAAAAAGCTTTCTATTTCAAAGGCAGAATAAGTAACTCAAGCACAAGTTAAGCTTACCATCTGCATTAACTGTGCCTAAAGATATTTATTAAAGGAAAAAATAGCCACATTTGGGATTTGAGCCAAAAGGATAAAGCTCCTGATTCCTCGCAAATTATAGTGGCATGCCGGGCCCATGCCATAACTCTGTCATGTCACTGTTTCTTTGAAAAATAATCATTTCACTTATATTACAATGGTATCATGCAAACTTAACTTGTTTCACAATTTTGGGAAAGATGGCCATGTTTGTGTGTGGTAAAGATGACTATGGTCTTGTTTGTCACCCAAGGCAGACTTTAGAAACAAAAACAAAATTTTGGCATCATGATCCTTTTAATAACTAACTTCAATTCAAGTTCTAAAGAACCTATAAACAAGCAGTACTAAAATATGAGGGTTTATATAATATGGAAATGGAAATCATAGTAAAACACGCTATAACTCACTGATTCTCAAATCCATTTGTGAGTCACCTAACTTTATTTAAAGAAATCAAAAAAACAAAAACATTATTAATGCATAGGTCCCATCCCAAACCAATTAAATCAGAATCTCTAAGAAGTGAGGCCCAGAATTCAGTATTTTTTAAAAAGACATCAAAAAAATTAAAAATGAAAATAAATAAATAAATAAGACATCACTGCTTCAGAGAAGTACTGCAGAAATTTGTAAAACCAGCGTACACTGGTTGAGTAGAATACTACATAAGATATATGGCAATTTGTCTTCAGGTAATTTATGTCCTTCCAAAGTTTCTGCACAATTGATACTAGCTTTGGAATATTTTGATCAAATTTATTAGGAGTAGCAGTGTATACTGCTATATTGTTTCATGTTTTACAATCAGCATATATTATTTCAGGTAAAAGATAAAAACATTTAATAATTACATTCTATAAGATTAAAACGTAAAAACATGTCTGAAATCTATCCAGAAGAAATAAACTATACTGAATTACATAAAGAGACCATAAACTACCATGTTCACTTTTCTTTTAAAAAATAAGACAGGGCCAGGTATGGTGGTGCAGCGCCTGTAATCCCAGCACTCAGGAGGCTGAGACAGGAAGATTGCTTTGAGTTCAAGAACACCCTGGGCTACATACTGAGCTCTAGGTCAGTCTCAACTACATAGTGAGACCCTGTCTCAAAAAACCAAATAAATAAATAAATAAATAAAATAAAAAATAAGACAGGGGGCTAAGGGATGTAGCTCAGTGGTTCTACTGCCTGCCTCACAATCACAAGGTTCTGAGTTTGATCCCCAGTACCAAAAAAATAAAGAAAGAAAAGACAAAAACAAACTTCCAGAAATGCCAGGGCTGCAAGAGCTATAAAAACACAAAATTTGGAGTGTGATGATGGATGCCTATAATCCCAGCCCACAGGAGGCTTAGGCAGGAGCATCTCCATGAGGCCAGCCTGGAGCTACATAATGAGTTCAAGGCCAACCTGAACTGCATAGTAAGACCCTATCTCAAAAAAAAAAAAAAAGAATTTAAGGTTTATCGTTCCCTACAGATTACTACTGGAATGAAGATTATAGCATTTTACTTTCTTAAATCCTCAGAAAATCTGCCCAGGGAATTATTATTCTGGCAAGATCTTCAGGAAGATTCTACTAAATGTGTCTGCCAGACAGTCAAGAACAGTCTTGTAATGCTACTGATAATCATCAGAATCTGCAAATAGCCCACATGAGAAACAATGGAATACTAGCTAAATTATTATGACACATTCATAAGAGAAGTTACCACAGGACAATAATCAGAAGTACTAAAATAATGACATGTGAAAATGCTCACAATATACATGTTCATGTGAGGATGTAAATACATTTTTTTAAATGTATGTACACAGACACGGAGGGAAACACACCAAAGACAGAAACTGCAGGCCGGAGTTTTAGCCCAGTGGGACAGTGCCTGCCTAGCACGCACAATGCCCTGGTTTGACCCTTAGCACACCAGGGGGTGGTACACCACACAGAGGTACTTCTAGGTTCCTGGATCAACCACCATCTTTAACTTTCTCAGTTTTCTATGCTTTCAAAATGTTCTAGGATAAAAATACTAGTTTTTAAATCAGAAAAACAGAAATTGCTACTTTTAAAAACAATTGCATTTTGACCCTCCTATTTAATCTCCCACTTCCACACAAATGTGTAAGAACTAATGAGATTAACAGTTTACTAGTACAGAAAGTCAGATCTTGAGAAGCATAATGAAGGATGTCAGAATAGTGAAGCAAAAACATAAACTTTAAAAGAAAAAAAGATATAGATGAGGCGAGATAAATCTGAGAGTTCTGGATCGACTTGGATGAACACCTAGAGGAAAAAGCCATTCACAATCTCAGAGTAACTCTGGGTGGAAAACAAATTATACATACAAATACATACGTGTGTGTAGCTGGGCATGGTGGCACACACCTATCATCCCAGCACTCTGGAAGGCTAAGGCAAGAGGATCACAAGTTTAAGCCCAGCCTGGGTAACTTAGCAATTTAATGAGATTGTTTCAAAATAAAAAATAAAAGAACTCGAGGTGGTGCAAGCCTCTTATCCCAGCACTCAGGAGACTGAGTCAGGAGGATCGCTGGGAGGGCAAGGTCAGCCTGTGCTACATAGTGAGTTCAAGGCCAACCTGAGACCCTGTCTCAAAAAACAGACCAAAAAAAAAAAAAAGAAAGAAAGAAAAGCAAAAACAGTTCTGGGGATATAGTTCAGTGCAAAGATTATGGGTTAAATCCCCAAGTACCACAATAAATAAAGTGGATATCATAGTCTCACTTGTGGTCAGCCCAGAGGGTAGCTTCATTAGAACATCATTATCCTGAATTACAAATTAATAACTTTACTTTACCACTTGAGAAATTTAAGACTGATGATATTAAAAACAGGCACTGGCAGCATAGCTTGGGTTTGATCCCTAGCACCAAAAAAAAAAAAAATCATAATAGCAAACTAAAAATAAGTAAAAAGTAAAAACAAATTCATTTTATTCCTATGTCTTTTTATTATTATTTTTGTTTTTTGAGATACAGACTCACTGTGCAGTTCAGGCTGGCCCTGGACTTACTACGTGGACCAGACAGGCTCTGTACTCGATCTTGCAGCAATCCTCCTGCCTTGGCCTCCTGAGTGCTATGGTTACAGGTGCGTGCCACCATATCTATGCCTATTTTTAACAACTCCTAGGAACATAACCAAACACTAAGCATGACACAGGACAGTTTTAGGAAGGCGACCAACCAAGTAGGTTATTTCACCTGTGTTTCCTTTTTCATCTTCTCGGATGTGCAGATCCTTCATGGAGGTCTCCAATTCTAGCAGGTCTCTGAGGTCTTCCTTGTATACTTCTATATAGGATACTTTTACATTAAAGTCACTGGTAGGATTTTCAGAGATGCTCTGAAATATTTCTTGGATCGCTCGAGGAATGATACCCTTTTGACCCTCCACAATTGTAGCTGAAAATTTAGAAAAGGAAAACACATCTGGAGCTTGAAATATAAGGAAAGGTATGACTCAAAATTTATACTTACTAAACTTCTTTTCTTTCCTTTCTCCATTATTATTATTTCTCTGAAACTCACCGGAAATGTTCACAAGCATTCTCTCACTCAGAATTCATGCACTGATTCAGCAAATATCTCATGGCTACTGTGTATCGGGCACTATTTTACGACTCTGGGGCCCATCAGCGAACAAAAAAAGGAGGAAAAAAAGTCTCTGCCTCTGTGGAAAATTCAACTGCAGAGCGAGGTATAACAGCACCAAAGAGCAACTGATAATGCGGTACATGAGGAAAGGCAGAGCAGGGTCAAGGGACTGGGGGCGTGACTACATGGCAGGTGGGAAGTCACAACTATAAAAGGGAGGTCACAGGCATCGCTGGGAAGCTGGCCTTTGAAGAAAGACTTAAAAGAGGCACGGGGTCACTGAGAAGGCACTATACAGGTGTGCTCCAAAACCAAGGGGTCAGTGTGGCCAGAACAGAGGGAGCAAGGGCAGAGGGGCGGAAGGACAGAGGCGACAGGAGCCAGAACACAGAGTTCCTGAAAACTCTTGAGCTTTCTTCATTGCAGTGAGAGCCACTAGAACAGGGCAGGAGCTTACGTTCACCTGAGATTTTTAAAACAACACTCTGCTTGCTATGTTTTTCAGAGTAGAAAGAGGCCACTTAGGAGGTTAATGTAGAATCTGGGAGTCAAGGAGGTTGGGGATAGTCAAGACGGTGGCTCACAGCAGAATGACAACTGGATTCTGGATTTACGTTGAAGAGGGGGCCATTAAGATCTCCTGACAGGATAGGTTTGTCTCTTTCGCATCAACAATACTGTGGTTCATTTCCAGAGAACTGGGGGCTTGGCCAGTTACACTGTATCCTCAGCTCCCCAAATTATTTTGTCAGGATGCTGCTCTTGCAAAGCAGGCAGCGGAACCACTGAGCTAAATCCCGGCCCGGCTCCCCAAATTAATGGAGGTGGTCAGATCCGGGGACAGAGGCAAAGGCCTAGTGTTACGTATGCCCAGAGAACATCACTGTAAGCACACACTACTAAAGAGAGCTCCTGACTAGCGACAGTCATTCAAGTGGAACTGACTGAGAACTCCCCAAGGCATGCGTGTGCGCACAGGCGTACGTGCGCGCACGCGCGCACACACACACACACACACACACACACACACACACCAAAGCAAAAATTCCCCCCAAAACTCCCAACTTCCCCAAAGCTGATCCATGGGGCATGAGTGGGGAGGAAATCAAGCTACATAGCTGAGTTACATGAAATGATAAAACACACAAAGAAAATAATCAGTAAGGTAATCAGCAAGCTCAAAGATTATATATATTAACTAACAGACAATAAACACAACAATCACAGAGCTTACAGAACATTCTAATAAGTTGTCTGAGCTGGGAGTGGTGGCACACACCTCTAATCCCAGCACTCAGGAGGCCAAGACAGGACGGTCACCACAGGTTTGAGATCAGCTTGGGCTACATGGTAAGAGTTCAAGCCCAGCCTGAAATATATAACAAACTACTGTTTCAAAAAGAAAAAGCTATCTTAGAAAAATACAAAACATGAACAACCACATGTAAGAGTTTGTGAAAGGGTACACAACAAATCCAAGAGATACAGAATTCTATTGAAATCATGGGCAGCAGAAGTAACCAGCGTGGGGCCACAGAGATTTAGCTCAGTGGCACCGCACCTGCCTTGTAAACTCAAGGTCCTGATTTCAATCCCTGGTATCACACACACACACACACACACACACACACACACACACACACACACAAAATAGAAGTGACTAGTGTGAAGACAGTGTCAGAACTAGGAGATAAGGCTGATATCAATGACTGAATAATACTCACAGAAACCTCAAAAACAACAACAGAACATGGAAAAAAGATCCAACAGCTTCTAGACAACACAGAGAAGACTAAGATTAACTGAAATTAGTGAAAAATAAGAAGACAGCACAAACAGCATAAAAATTTGTTTACAAAAAACTTTCCAGGTATGGGGAAAGAATTTAACATGCAGATACGAGAGGATATAAGACTAAATAGCCAAGCTCAGAAATGAACATTTCCATAACACATCACAGTCAAAATCCCAAGTCCAACATAAAAACTGAATCTTAAAGCTGTTAGAAAAAAGCAATGAATCATTTCTAAAGGTAAATTGATCACAGTTACAGCAAACTTCTCACCACAAACCTTAAAGAACAGAAGAGCCTGGAATGAAGTGTTTCAAATACTAAAAGAAAACAACTTCCAAACCTGATATATCCTACAAAACTCTCTTTCAAAACTGATAAGAGCCAGGCGTGGTGGTGCAGGCCTGTAATTTCAGCACTCGGGAGGCTGAAGCAGGAGAATTGCTCCAGCCTAGGCTACATACTGAGTTCCAGGTCAGTCTCAACTACTTAATGTGACCTTGTCTCAAAAAAACAAACAGTAAACAAAAAAAAAACCTGATAAAGAAATACAGTTTTCCCCTCATCCCACAAAGAATGGCTGCTATCAAGAAATCACACAATAACAAAAGTTGGCAGGGTTGTGGGGAGAAAGGAACCCTTCTCCATTTGTTAGCAGGAGTGCAGACTGGTGCAACCACAATGGATATCAATATGGAGATACCTCAAAGAGCTGGGACTAGAGGTTCCATTGACCCAGCCATCCCTCTGCTGGGTATCTTTCCAAAGAATTAAAAGAATCATACCACAGTGATATATGCACACCCATGTTTATAGCGGCACAGTTTGTAACAGCTAAAACTTGGAAACAGCCCATTTGCCCATCAGTTGGAAACTGGATAAAGAAGATGTGGTTTTTCTATACAATGGACTACTACTCATCCATAAAGAACAGGAAAGTAGATTCATTGATAGGAAAATGGATACATATTGAGGATATACTCCTAAGTGAAATAAATAAGTCACACATGTGTAAATACTGAACAGTTTCTCTGGTGTGAAAAACTAAAATAGTACTCAAGATCCTAATGGGATAATTAGCAATGTGAAATAGGAAGAAACGGGCTAAAGGTGTAGGGAAAGTGAGAAGGGTAGGGGAAGGGGAATAAGGGAAAAGGAAAAAATGTGAGAAAATGTAAAAATGGAATTAAAGTGTTTGTAGGTGAGGAGCGGGGAGGGGAGCAGGGGGTGAAGGGAGGGTGGGGACAAGGGGAAAAACTGAGAACCAAGACCTGTCATGTAAAGGTACAAGAATCCAGTAATGAATGTAACTGTACTGTCTACCTAGAATGTACCAATAAATTCAATTTAAATTAAAAAAAAAAAGAAGTACAGTTTTCCTATGACAAAGAGCACCTTAAAAAGTCATAATCACCACCCCCAAAATTTCTCAAGGATAAACTAGAAAGAGACAATAAAGCAAGGATGCCAACGGATCCAATGGAATGATTACATCAGGTAGGGTGAACAACTCAGCAAAAGCAGGGAGAAAAAGGAATCAGCAGCAAGAAAATAAGAAGGAGGGAGGAGAAGGAAGGAGGGGAATGGGGAGGGGGAGGAGGAGGAGGAGGAGGAACAGATTGGTAGACAGGATCACAAAACAAAGCCCAGCTGTGTGTGGTGGTGCATGCATGTAATCCCAGCAATCTGGAGGGTGAGGCAGGAGGATAGACCTGAGTTCAAGGCCAGCCTGCACTACAAAGCAAGACCCTGTCTCCAAAAACAAACCAAAAAATGAAACAAACAAAGAAAACCCAACAGTATGCTGTATAATAGAAACATGTTTAATCCAAAAAGAGATTCATACACTAAAATATCAAAGAATGGAAAACAATATTCCATGCATTGGACTCTGAAAACAAATAGCATATCCTGTTTTCAGACAAAATGGACTTCAAACTAAAACTGATAAGAAGAGGCAAGGAGGTAGCCTGGGCCCTGACCCACCAGGGGAAGGAGAGCCACGCCTGCTCCGGCCCCAGCCGCCATCGCTCAAGCACCGGGAAGGTAGCCGCGTGGGCACCCCTGAACCCCCATAAAGCCCCCCCACACACTCTCAGATCCCCTGACTGTGCCAGTCTTTGCACCTACTCTGCAGAGGCAGAGGTGATCATCAAGGGTATTTTTCTGAGTTCCCAACTTTGAACATTTTTAAAGAAAGGGCGTGGGAAACCTGTAATAGAACGTTGTGGAGTTCAACAATTCAGAAGGTTGGGGAACTCAATCTGGGCCTTGCAGAACGAGGTCAGTTAGAGTCATGGGGTTCGGCCATCAGCTAACTGAGACCAGGGGACTTGTATCCTCGCTCTGTCTGAGCCATTAAATGGTAAATATACTATATTGAAAAGTTTGTTCACTGCAGACATGTTCTGGATGGCTTCCTGATTTCAATTTAATTCACATGATTTAAGGGTGATAGACTAGTGACTACCACAGGTGGTCAGTTTCCAAGTTGTGCTTGATCTTAATGTGTTGCTGATTGTATCAGTTGGGATAAAGGATTGTGGTTGATTTGATGAGCTGTTTTCTCTGATGTTATGAAGATGAGAATGTATGTGGGTCATTAGAGACCCAGAACCCAGGGGGCAATTATATCCGGAAGATTTGGGTGATAAACCAGAGATTAAACCAAGGACAGTCTGACAACAAAGATTAAAATGAGAAAACACTTAAGCAAGACACAAGGACAGACTTCCAGTTCACCAATGGCAAACAGTAGGGCAAATGAGGATGAAAAGGCCGATAGTGAACCACCAGGACACCCTGAACTCAAAGCACAGGAAGTGACAAAACAGATCAATCAGGCTCTAGAAAAATTCAAAACAGAAATAATTTCCCAGATAACCATAGAGATAGTGAGCAAAATGGAAGTCGTGATTCAAGACTCTAGAGCAGAAACTGACAAAAACATAGATGAGCTCAGGACCATGATAGAAGCCATGAAGGCCCAGCATAAGAAAGAAATGGAAAAAATAAA